TAAGAAAAAGATGTCCCTAGTCCACTCGTTAATCCGAAATTAATCAGTAAAGATGACATCAGCTTGAGGGACTGAATGTGAGAGATAAAGTTAATTAGATAAAGTAACTTAGAAAGATATACGCTCTCCAAAGTGTGGGGGGGAGGTATTGGGGGCAACACACTTATCTATTGCCCTTAATTCATTCGGGGCCTCATGTTGGGTTCCTTGGCACGATCGAACTACCCTCAGTAGAAAACAGAAAGCAGAAAATAAGCTAAAAATTGGAGCGAGTATATCCTAAGTCTTAAAACCGTCTAAATTACTCAGAGAAAGGTAGATCCGTAACTTCTGGAACCTACGTAGTCAACCATAGGAGCATCACTTAAGGAAAGGACCTTCCACTTCTATTTAAACTAAATCTCACCCTGGTCGGGTTGGCTCACGGCTTCCCCAGTTTAAAGTGATACATCAGCTTGAGGGACTGAATACGAGAGAATTTAGTTATATAGAATATCGTTGGCATTGATCTGTGAAGAAGGTTAATCCCGCGGATTGGTTACCATATTGGGTTGGAGTTTTTTAAACGTTTAAGGTTGTTAGACCTGTACGCAAATATTAGGCGATTATAGCTTTAAGGAGGGGGAGGGGCTCTAGTTAGACGTTTTAACAAAACTATAACTAAAGAGCACGCGATGTGCGGAAAAATGCTTGCACTTGTAACCAGCACAAGACGTAACCGAAAAGTGCATGCACTGTCCCTCCTTGTACCCGCACTTACAACTCTAGGATAACTAAAGAGCATGCATTATGCGTACCCATACCCGGAGGTGCATGTACCCCGACTTGGCTATCTACTAACTAAATTTACATCATCAATTTACTAGAGATTTCTAACTAATTCAGCATATTAATTCCCGTTGTATTATCCTCATGTTTTCGACAACACTTTTTCTACCCAAATAAAAAGGTTAAATTTTGACATCTTCGGCGACTTTATTACCCATTATATATTTACGTCATGTTTTGTTAATACTTTAGTCTGAGTAACACTTCTCATATATCCACCCTTGAATTCTCTTCTAAGCATATCTCTAGTCGTTGATACACTTCCACCTGCTGCTACTGATTTAAACTGCCCCCATGTAATATCTCCTCTTTTGAAACCGGCAATTACTACCACTTCTTTTCCAGTCGAGGTTTTATAACCATAACATTTTGGTGCTACAAATAATGCTTCTTGAATAATATTACCCTTCAATTCATCTTTCATTAAACCGAGGTCAGTTCCAATATGTTTAGCTTCTAAAGGTTTAGCTAAAAATACAGAGTCAGTATCTGAATAGTAACAAGGGTTATCAGGGTTTACTTTATAAGGATTAATAATCATTCTAGATTCTGCAGTTGTAGCAGCGGCAATTGCCACATTGACTAACGCAGGGCGACCTTTCTTATTACCTTCTGAAGGATCGTAAACTACTAAATTATATTTATCCACTGGCCCCGGAGGGCCCGCGAAGCGGAGTACTTTCTAACACTCTATATTTTTCCTCAAGAGTTAATAAATCATCATTAGTAATTAATTTAGTTTCTAAATTCTCTGATCGTCGCCCAAAGTATCCATACAATCCATTAAGAAATAGTTTTACTAAGAATCTTTCACCTAATTTACTATTCATTCTAGATTTTAAAGCCTTAATCTCTTTAACCAATTCAAGTGTTTCAGGCAATTTCTCAAGCTCTTTAATTTGATGATCCAGCGCCTGTGTTTCAGTGTCTAACACTAATTTCTTAGCATAAAAGTGATCCACATATGCATCAAACAATTTAGCGGAGGAGAAAGCGTATCCACCCATAATTCTGATATCATAACCGTAATCTCTCATTTGTTTTAACTCTTCGGCGAAGTAAATACCTCTGAACACACCTTTTGGATAAGATAGATGGCTTTTAATCGAAGATTGGTGTTGCAGTACAGGGATAGGAACTGACACCCCACTCACAACCACATCTAGAAACCCAAAGAATGTATCTAAATTAATCTCATATCCCTGTAATTTTCCTAAATAATGGTGTGGCATCAATCTCTTCATAGCATATGGGTATAGTGAATTAATATCATAATAATGTAAATCCGATCCCTCAAGCTTAAACACTTGTGTAGCACCACCTCTATAGCCACTTCTGATAATTTTCTCCCCCAAAGGGGGCGATATTTTGGTAATGTTGGAATATCTTCTGGAATAAAACTAGTACGATAAATTTTCATAGCTAAAGAAGCGGCACTGTAAGCTGTAGTCAAATCAACTTTATAATCTCTAAATAGCATCTCTGCTGCAGAGTTCATAACATCTAGCAGGGAAATTAGATCTCTACTTAAATATTCTAATTCCCCTTTAGGGATTGGCACATCAAACATCTTAGAAAGACTCTCAAGACTGGCAGGAAAAATTCTTAGAGAATCCTTCAACACGATATTCTCAGGTAGGGTTAATGAAATAATATCTTTAGACTTATCCATAAGTACGCCAACGGGCCCTAATAACTCAACGATAGGTTTTAACAGATAAATTCCATCAAAGCCCCCTAAATTATGAACATAAATAGTAAACCCATTGGCTGTTGCAGTTTCCTTACACAAATCTAGTAAGAGTTGGTGTGAAGCTTCCCAGGGGTCATTTGTATAAATAGGATAATCTGTTAAATAAAAGAATTTCTCTTTAACCTCCCCGTCTTCACTATTTAATCTTAGACCACCCGCGTAAACTAATAACTTACCTGCATCTTTTCCCTCAGTTAACGTGACAGTTTCCAAATCTAAAGCTCCTGTTCTTCTGTTAACTGAGGTTGCTGGGTTAAACGTGAGATCTTGTGACCTGCTTTAAGATCTTTAATAGGTGTTAACTTAATATCAACTTCAATCGCTTCATCTGCCACATATCCCGAGTTGTTTAGATTCTGGATACCTTCAACCCAGTGGGCAATCCACTCTTCTCTAGTAGTTTCTTTTGTGACCTTCATACTAAAACCTAATGCTGCCCACTGATTCTCAAGTTGTACATTAAATGTCACCGCAAGCGTCCCAGTTTTATTTAACTCTTTCTCGACTAAAGGGTCTTTAACTAATCGATTCCATACAGCTTTAACAAGTCCCAATAGAGGAATGCTTTCGGTTAGCGCAACAGTATACTGTAACTGTTTACCATTTGCAATATGTTTTAAGATTCCACCACCATCTTCGATTTGTTGGATATATTCTGATACAAACTCAGACGGAGCACTTTTATTCCCACTAAGTCCTAAATGCCCAGCCTCCCGGAGTTGTGTTGATTTATTATATAACTTCTGGGCTAATTCTATATCACCGGCCGCTCGAGCCTCTTCAGCTTGGTTATGTAATTCTTCAGCTTGTTTAAATAATTCATCAGTTCGATTTAAAATTGTAGGCTCCGGGTTTCGTGCTCCGGATTTAATAGAGTTCAATTCTGATTCCATACTTTCAAACTTAAAGTTCATATCGGCGTTATTTTTAGAGATATCTAAGTTAATATTAGAGATATTTGATTCCATACTTTCAAATTTCGCGTAAATTAACTCAATTAGTTTTTCATTCACATCTGTAGGAGTATTATTAGGATTATGTGATACCTTGTTAGGCCCTTTATTTTCCCCCACAGGTGAAGTGTTAATACCTGCTAAACTATTTAATTGAGCAACATTATCCTTAATCGGTTTAATAATAGGTTCAATAGAAGATTGAATAATAGGTGTAAATAAAGATGATAAAAGATCAGTTAAAAAATTACCCGTCCCTTCGGGCCCGCGGAGCGGAGATGAATTGTTAGTTCTAACTCCATTTTGCTCCATATTATTAACTCTTGATTTAAGCTCCGTTACTTCAGATTTAATATTCGTTACTTCTGATTTAATCTCTTTCATATTAGTATCAATTTTAGTATCAATACCTTTCATAGCATTAAGGATATCATTAAATTGTGAGTTAGACGCTGAGTTTTCATGTGAAGTTACAGGAATAGGATTTGGGGTGCTAGTGATAATAGGCATAGGGTAAACAGTCTCCTTCGCTTCGCGCCCCCGAAGGGGAGAAATATAATTATGTTCCCCATCTCTAATATCACGGTGAGAATAAAGTTCAACTAAGAGCGCAATAATTAAAGCTTTTTTAGGCATATTCCAAGCCATTTTATACACAATTTTAATAAGGCCTGTAAATTGTTCCCATGTCATGTTAGTAGGCATTTTCTCTTTAATTGCCTTATCCATTTTCTCAAGAACCTTACCATTAACATTTTTAAGTTCAGATACTTCGAATAAATTAAAAAGACTTGAATAAAGAGAGTCAATATTTAGTGCATAGTATCTTCCAACTTCTCCACCTGCACCTTGGAGCATGGACATTACAACAGTTCTTAAGTTGTAATTAATGAATTTGAACATTTCTTTCATAATTAATTTTATATACTTGTCGGCTAATAGGATTATTCATCCGAATTTAAGATAATACCTTGTTTAAGGTTGTTCCCGCGGATTGGTTACCATATTGGGTTGGCTACGGCTTTTATTTAAACGAATTCCGCCTTTACTCCTTTCTTATATTTGATTTGTTTGAGTGAAGTGTTTACAAGTTTAAGGTTTTTAGGGGGATTTCTGGTGTATCTAGATTAACTGTTAAATGTTGAGTTATTTATGTTGAATTCTTAGTTAATATATTGAAAGTAGCTATTCTAAGTGAAAGAGTGTTATTATGTTTGATAGATAGATTTGATAGGTAGATAGATTTGATATGTTAAAATACCAGAAAATAACTCTGGTCAGAGTGGTCCGAAATTAAAACTAATTTGACCTACACTATCTACTTATAATTTGCTACAGGCTGCGCTCCGCCTTTTTATTAAAGAATAAAACCCAACCACCGGGGAGGCTATTAATTGTTTTTCTAATTTATACCGCGCCGCCGGGACTGGATTTATCTCAATGAGCTCATTCTTGGGTGGATTAAGTAACTGAGAGGAATCGAACCTCTGTTAAATGATTAACAGTCATTCGCTTTACCATTAAGCTACAGCTA